AATATCCATAAAACACTTCATATTTAACACCAATCTACCAACATCCCAACTTCAAATCACCCTCTATTACCCATAAAATCCACAACCCACATCCAATAAAATATCCATCTCCAAATATTTATCAAACCATATCCAACAAAAACACTTCCCAATTTTCACTAACACAAAAAATAAAAAAAAAAAAAAAACATTTTCCCATATACAATACACTACCTAAAACCTCCAAAAAATTTAAAAAATAAAAATTACACAATATCAAAATCCTCCTCCTCACACACTCACTATCCTCACCTCAATTACCCAATATATTAACATTCATATCTCCATTCATCAACTCCCACCTTTTACCCTCAATAACCTAATCTCCACTACTTTCAATCAAACCCTCCACCATTTCTTATAACCCATTCCCATCCCATACACTTCATAAACCCCAAACATTCTAATAACACAATCTAAGATATAGAGATATCTCATAACACAATTACACATTTATTTCACTCATAAACCACAAAAACTAACACCACATCTACCTACCACCATCCAAATAAAAACAACCCTCCACAACCCCACCCATAAAACCACCATAACCCTATAAAATCTACTAACACCCCATCAAATCCTAACTACATCAACACTAAAAAACACATAAACCACTTTCACACACCAAACACAAATCATCCTAACCTATCCTACTTAATAAAATAAAACCAACAATCCCTAAATCACAAACCAACCACAAAACCCCCCCAAACTAAATCCAAAAATCAAACACAACCCAAAACACACAAACCAAAACACCACACCCCCCACAACCAAATTAAACATACCCAAACAACAACCACACTAAACAACACCCCACACCAAACACCCCTTCACATCATATAATAACATCCCACTATAACACCCAATAAAACCAACCTCCCACTCCCCCAAACATAAATCCAAAACAAATCCACTCTCTTCTAAAAATACCTAATTACCCACCATCTTTTATTTCATTCCACATTACCACCTCTACCAAAACAAATTAAAAAACCACAAACCCCATATATCCCCTTCCCTAAAACAAACCACCATCCTCACAAACATAAAACATACACACCCATACAAACTCCTAATATCCCAAAAAAAACACAACTCCCCAAAAACATTTTAATTATAAAACATATTTAACTTAAATTCTTCCATCTAAATTACTAATAATACAAAAATACCAATAACTTCTCAAACAAAAAAAAACACTCTACTACCCCAAATATCACAAAACACAACCCAACCATATCCCCTCCTCAAAACAAAACCAACCTAAACCATAACTCCCCATTACTCCCACATAAAAACTTTACAAACAAAAAAACAAAAAAACCTAAAACAACCCCCTATCAACAAACCATTAAATTTTTTTTAAATAAACATACCACAAATATTTCAAACAATTCAAACCTAATCTTCCAAATAACACTACCTTTACATACTCATTACCCATTTACAAATTATAAACCCCCATATCCCCCCACACAAATACCAATACAAATAAAACAAAAAAAAACACCCAAAATAAACATAAAACCAAAAAAAACTAACCTATACAAACTAAAACACTAACACAAAACCACTAAACAATCCAATAAAACCCACAATATACCATCACACCCTAATTCAAAAACCAACCCAAACAATACAACCAAAAAAACAACAACACAATCAACAACCACAAACCTATCCCCCACACAAACACAACCCCCCATTCCTTCACCCTCCTATTCCCTCACATCTCTAACACAAAAATTACAAATACCAACAAAAACCACAAATACCCCCATAACAAAAAAAAAAAATACATATCTCCCTCATTCTTCACACCCCCCCCTCTCCAACCACCCTCTCAAAAAAAAAAATCAACACATAATCTCTTCAATAAATTAAATTAAAACAAATATAATATACTCAAACCTTATAAATAACACACCCCATCCTATATCACATCTATCCAAAACATCACCCCAAACCACCTTTTAACAATAATTTTCATTAACACCCAAAATCAAAAATAATCCTATTTACAAAATACACAACATTATCATAATCAAAATCAAAACACCACACAACCACACCCCCAAACCACAACAAAAACAACACCAACAACAACACCTACCCACATTAAATAAAACTACCAAAAAAACAAAAACACACCTAAACAAACCCCCCCCACACAAACCACACCCCTCAACCATCCCCAATCATTCACTATTTTCACCACCCCTTTCCCCTAATCCCAAACAAAAATTTCCAAAAACCCCTCCCCAAAATTTCCACATCAAATCCCAAACATATATAAAACCACTCCCCACCATAACTAATCCCTCATTCTCATCCCACCCTCATAAACCATTAACCCCCCACCTAACACCAATTCAAACCTCATTTCATAACCCCCCACCTCCCCACCCAATCACTCCCTTAAACATCATTAAAAATACCAAAAAACACCCCAACAATCTGAGAGATATCCCCCATTAAATTAACATCTAAAACACAATTAATCAAACATCAACACAAATAAATAAAATATCCCCCACCACTAACAAACACCCCATATCAACCCACAATACCCCTATCCCTAAATACCACACCTATAACCACCCACCCTCTTTCACACTTCCCAATATAAACCTAAACCACCAAAATAAAATCCAAAACCCTTCCTATATTAAATTCACCATCCCCCACCCAACACAAATCAACATCCACCACCAAAAATTAAAATACCAGAAATATCAAAATAAATCACATCCCCCAAATACCCATAAATATTACACTAACTTTTTCCTTACTTCTTTAACTAAAATTTTACCAAACCCTTAGATATAATCCACATATAACAACCCAACACATACTTAAATCCATTTAAAATATATATTAAAACATACAAATATTTCTTAATATTACTATATAAAATCTCTTTCTTCCACTCAACAATAAACACAAATTTAACCCCCCACATTCAATAACCACCCAAATATCCTCCACCTCCATCACCAAACTCACAACCAAAAACAAATGTTCTAAAAAAAAAAAAAACATCCTCTCACCCCAATATCCCAACCTTCCAATATATATTAACTACCAATACCCTTATCTAACAAAATATATTTTAAAACAAAACCTTAAACCTCTCTAACACAAACCAAAAAACACATATATAAAATCAACCAATTACTCCAAAACACAAATCCCAAATTAAAACATACCAATTCCACAAACATTCTACAACCCTCCAAAAAATATCATACATCAACCCAAAAACTAAAACAATTCAAACAACCCATCCCCATAATAAACAAAATAAAAACAAAAACAAAAAAAAACCAAAAACCCAACAAACCACCCAACTACCACCCCAACAACCCACAAAACTCCAATAACCACAACTATCTCAACATCTCCAACCACTCCAATAAATACCCACCAAACAAAAATTCCAAACATCCTAAAAAATAATTTCCTCAAAAACACAAACCAACTTTCAAAAATAAATCTCCAACAATAAACAAACAACCTAAAACAAACCCCACCCATAACATACACAATTTAAACTCACAATTCCCTCACCCAACCCAACCAAAAAAAACCTTCCCACCACCCACCTAACACATCCCACCATACAACATCCCTTAATCAATATACCATATCAACCTCCCATACACCCCTTACCCCCCCCCCCCATCACAACCATATACTCAAACTCCAAATCTCAAATCCACCACCATTTACCCTAACACACCCCTCAAAAAAATCAATCACCGTACCCTAAATAATCTTAAATATCATAACCAAACCAAAATAATCACAAAACAACCCATTTCACACCAAATTACACCCATCTACTAATCTTAAACAAAAAAACCCCAAAAAAAAAAAACAAAAAAAAAAAAACCTTTCAACTTATCACCCTATTATTAACACCCTCACAACTAATTATCCCAATCTCCCACCCAACATAAACCCATAATCTTATTCTAACCCCTCAACCCCCTCCATAAAATAACATAAACACTACTATTATCACCCTCACCACCCTAATCTCCTAATCCATTTCCATATTAACCTAAATAATCACAAAATAAACACTCCATCTCTCTTCCCATAAATTCTAATCCAACATTAAACAAAAAAACCCCCATCCCATAGATATAGAGAACAACATAAAAAATTCCACCAACCCAAATATCATAATTAAAACCAAAAAACACCACCCAATCCTCCAACACTCCCAACTCAACCATACTATATACTCATCACATCTAAAAAAAAAACAAAACATAAACATATATTCCTATTAACTACTAATACCCATCCAATTAATCAATATTCACACTTTACCCATATTACAAATACAATACATAAAAACAACCAATCATATATATATATATATATAGGACATTAATATCCACTATATCCCAAACAATCTACTATCAACTCTATTATTTTACTTTCAACATTAATCTTAAACATTTTTAACTTCCCATATATTAACCTTAAACCCACCCACACCCACACACCCACAAAAACCAAACTTAAATCACCCACCCTAAACCCCCCTAAAACTAAATAACCCCCCCCCCATCTACCCAACCCTCCCCCCCCCCAAACAACAACACACACCCCACATTACACCCCCCCCTCCCCACACTACACACTACCAACTAACCACACTAACCCCCCACCCCCTCTCAATTTCAATTCTCCTCATACCTTATCCTCCTTCACTTCTCAATCCTTTCTTCTTTATTCCTTCCCCTCCCCTACTTCTTTATTTTCCTCCCCCCTACTCACTCCACTCCCCCTATTCTCTCTTCTTTATCCCTTACCTCTACCTCCTCCACCTCTCCATCAACTATCTCATTTAACTCTTCCCACCTTTCCACCCCACCCCACAACACTCATACTCAACCCACCCATAATCCAACCCTCCCCCATTCTATACACATCACTCACTACACCCTACTACCCTTTAATCCCCCCAACCCAAACCTCTCACACCACACTCCCACTCCCACCACCCCACCCCCCCCCAAATCATATACACCCCCCCCCCACTCAATACCCACCCCCACCAACCACCAACCACCAAACACCCCCTACAACCCCTTAAAATATAAATCTATCAAAACCAACAAATCCTAAAATTTTCTAAATCTCATAACTATCTTTTTTATATATTCCACATCACTCTAATCTATATTATACATCATAATTTTCATTAACTTCTAATTTTCTTATTTCTTTATTTACTTAACATTCACCCCTCCCCAATCCCTCACTCCTTTCCTCCCAACACACAACCCAACCCACCACCCCACTCAATCCCCCCCTTTTCACCATCAATTCAAAACCCCTCATACTATATTACTCAATACATCTTTCTATTATTAAAATCCTACCAATACCAATACCTCAAAAAAAACACCTACTCTTAAAGATATATAGAGATATAGATACCATCTCATTATCCACCCCTCACAATAATAAAAATCCCCCTCTCTCCATCTTAATACCACATATCAAAAAAACCAACACCCCACAAAAATAACAAAACCACATAAACAACCACCCAACAAACTACCCACAACAACAACAATCTAACAAAAACAAACACAAACCCCAAATCACATATCTAAACCAACACCCTAAACACAAATTTCACTTCTCATCCCAACCCCCACTAAAACATACTTAATCTACATCATCCCTAAAAATCCCATTCAACACTAAACCCCCTCTAACAACCTTAAACCAAAACACCTCAATAAATCATTCATCCATTCTAAACCATAAAACACAAACCAAAACCAACCCCAAATAAAACAACACACAATCACCATACCTAAACCCCAAACAAACACCCCATCTATTTTTCCCCAAAAACAAAACATACATCACTAACAAACCCAACACAACCATCATAAAAACCCAACCTCATAACCCCAAATAATTCCTCTTTATTTTATAATACAACTATCACCACCCCTCCATATATTAACAAATAAATTTTTCCCCCACCTCCTCCATTATTCATATCTATTATTATCCATCCACTTACCCTCCTATAAAACCAATCTACCTATCATATAAACTAAAACATTACTCCTCCCAACATCTCCAACCCCTCCCCCAAACACACCCAAATACAAAAACAATCATCACAAATAAATACAAACATATACTAAAATAAACTAACAAACAAAAGAGAATAACACCATATACCACCACAAAAAACAAAACACATACAAAAATAAATTATACAAAATAATTAAAACAAAACCTCTTACAAACTTCTCCCCCACAAATAACTAAACAAATAACAAAAATAAAAAAATCAAACTAAATATAACTCCCACCAAAAAAAACAAAAACAAATAATACTAAAACATAACTACAACACAATTATTCTATTTCTCTCCCCACAATTCTTTCAAAACAAATAACAACACAATAAAAACAACAAACAAAAATAAAAAACAACAATAAAAAAACCAACATCTTATCCCAACCCAACAACCCAAAACCACACCAAATAACATACAAAAAAAACCCCAACCAACCCCAACAAACACAAAAACCACAAACACCAAAACAAAACAAAAACTACCAACACAAAAACAACAAAAATCATTCAAAAACAATAAAAACTCCCCAACTCAAACCCAAACCAACACAACAAAACAAAACAAACAACTCCACACACCCAATACACCAAACACCAACACAACAAACCAACACCACCAACTCAAAACAACAAAATACACCCTACAACTAAACACTCCATTAACAATCAAACAAAAACATCCCCAACAAATCCCCCCATTCACAACCACCCAACAAACTAAAATATATATATTCCAAATACCCCCTACAAACCCCCACTAACTCAAATCCCCCCTCCAATTTTTAATTATAAATATTAAAAGATAATTAATACTCACCCCCACCCCCCACCTTACCTATATCCCCCAAAATACAAATCACCAATAACCCAACACACCCATTAAACCATATCACTCAACACCATACATACTATCAAACCAACACCCCCACCATAAACAACAACACCAAAACATCAACCACCACCAACCAACAACAACAACCCAAACACCAACCCACAAACACAAAACACCAAACACAAAAACAAACCAACTCAAAACCCTAACACAACATCAACACCAACAACCAAACAAACCAATACCCACAAAAATCACCAAAAACAAATTCATCCCCATACCCACAAAACAAAAAACCACTTCCATACAAACCACACCCCCAAAACCCCCAAAAACAACAAAAACAATCCAAAAACACCCAAAAAACTATCTCTCCCCCAACCCACCCCCACACACCCCCCCCCCCACCCCTAAATAACAAAAAATATAACCCCTCTAACAACCCCACCATCCACACAACAACACAACACCAACAAACCCCAAAACAACCAACCCAAACACAACAAACCAACCCCACCAAACCCCAAAACAACTTTAATAAAAATACAATATATCATAAAAATAAATAACAAAACATTCCTCCCAAATAAAAAAAAACCTCATTAAACCAACTAAATCTTTACCACCTAACATAATAAACCACCATTAAAATCACCCCTCAACCTAATTATAAAAACTCAAATAAAACAACCCAATTACCCTACCCCCCCTAAACCAACACTACAAACATAACCCAATACAAAACAACAAAAAATTACCCAACACCCCACCTCACCATCTCTTCTCAAACTTAAACTTATCTTCTTCACAACCCCCTCTACACTACATACCATCCCTAAACCACATAATCTACTTCTTACAAAACCATATCAATATATCCACCCCCCCCACCCTCAAAAACCCCAATCAATCACAATCCACCCAAATCCCCCAATCACTCATAATATCCATCCTAATAAATACAACCCCCCTAACTAACCAAATTCAATAAAATCCATAATCATCCTCAAACAACCAATCTATCATCTCACACCAAACCCCTAACAACCACCATCAAATAAAAATAATCACACCCTCCCCTCCCACAAAAAACATCCAAAAACATAACACATACCATTCCCCACCCACACCCCAACTCACTCACACCAACCAAAAAAACCACTTTCCATACCCAACACATAACCCACCCCCCCCCAATACAACCAAACCTAACTACTCATTAACAATATTACCTTATCAATACACCACCAATCCCTAACAAAACCCAAACCACCATTTAATCCACACCCCCCTACTCATTCTATAAAAAAATTACACCTAACATCAATAACACAAACACCCTACTAAATCAAAATTCAAACCTTCTTTCTTTACTTCTAATCTCACAAACTCAATACTCCAATATCAAAAACACACCCCCATCATATCCAAAAAAAAAAAACAACCCCCCATCAACCCTCCATCAATACAAAAACCAAAAAAAATAGATAGATATATAGATATATACCCCCCCTTTCCCCACATTAAAATCTATCAATATCCATCTAAACCCCAAACCCCCCCAACAAACAATACAAAACACAACAAACAACAAAATCATTAAAATTCCCAAAAACCCACACTCCCCCCAATAAAAACATATAAACCATCCCAACACAAACCAACCAAATCCCCTACCAAACCAAAAAAACAAAATCCCAAACCTTCTTATTCAAATTCACCCACCTCCCACACACCTCTAACCCCCCAACACAAACCACAAATACCAACCCCACCACATACAAAAAAACCACACTGTCAGAGATACATCCACAACCACAAACCCACAAATAACCATCCCCCAACACCAACCCCAACCCCCCCCACCCACAAACCCATCCAACCCCACACCCACACCCACAACAACCAACAACCCAACCCCCCACCCCCCCCCAAACACCACCACACCCCCACAACACAACACCCCAACACCACTCCCCACCCAAACAACCCCACACAAACCCCCCACCCCCCACCCCCCACCCCACCCCCCACAACCACCCACACCCCCAACCCCCCCCAACCCCACCCCAACCCCCCCCACCCCAAAACACAACCCACCCAACCCACCACCCAACCACCCCCACACCCCCCCCCCCCACACAACACTCACTACCCCCCCCCCCCCCCCCCCCCCCCACACACCCACCACCCCCACACCACCCCCCCCCCCCCCACCACCAACCCCCACACCCCCACCATCCCACCCACCCACTCCCCAAACCACACAACACTACCCAACACACCCCCCACCAAACCCAACCCAACCCACCCCCCAACCCCTACCCACCCCCACAAACACCCCCACCCACCCAACCCCCAACCCACCCACCCACACCCAACCCCCACCCCCCAACAAACCCCCCCCCCCCCCCCCCCCAAACACAAACCCCCCCCACCAACACCACACAACCCCACCAACCAAACCCACACCCACCCCACCACCCCCAACACAACCCCCAACCCAACCACAACCCCCCACACCACCAACCCAAAACACCCCAACACCCCCCACCCCCCCCCACCACCCCCACCCCCCAACCCCCCACCCACCCCAACCACCACAAACCCCCCCCCCCACCCCCAAACCCAACCACCCACAAACCCCCCCCACACCCACCCACCCCCCACCCCACCCCCCACCCCCCCCCCCCACCCCCAAACACCCCCCCCCCCCCCCCCCCCACACCAACAACCCCACCCCCCCAACCAACACCCATCCCCCCCCCCCCCCCAACCCCCCCAAAACCACCCCCAACCCCCCCCACCCCCAAAACCCCCCAAAAAACCCCCCCCCCACCCCCCCCCCCCCACCCCCCCACAACAACACCACAACACCCCCCCACACACCCACCCCACCCCCAACCCCCAAACAAACACCCACACAACCACCCCCCCCAACCACCCCCACCCCCCCCACCCCCCACCCACACCACCCAACCCCCCCACCCCCCCCCACACCCACACCCCACCCACCACCCACCCCCCCCCCCCCCCCCACACACCCACCCACCCAAACCCCAACAAAAAACACCCACACACCCCCCCACACACAAAACCACACACCCAACCACCCACCCCCCCACACCACCACCCCCCACCCCCCCCCCCCCCACAACCCACACCCCCCCCCCCACCCAAAAACCCACACCCCACCCCCCCCACAAACACCACCCCCCCCACCACCCACACCCCCCCCCCCCCCCCACCCCCCCCAACCACACCCCACCCCCACCCCCCACAACCCCCCACCCACAACCACCAACAACCCCCACCTCCCCCCACACCCCACACCCACACCACACCCCCCCCCAACCAACCCCACCACCCCCACAAAAAAACACACCAAAAAAAAAACACCAACACACCCCCCACCACCACCCCCAAACCACCCACCACCCCCCCCCCCCACCCCCCCCCACCCCCACAAAACACCCCCCAACAACACCCCACCCCCCCCCCCCCCCCCCCCCCCCACCCCACCAACCCACCCCCCCCCCCACACCCCACCAACCCCAACCCAACCACCCCAACACCAACCCCCCCCCACACAACCAACACCCCCCCCACCCCCCCACACCCCCCCCCACCCCAACACCACCCACACCCACCCCCCCACAACACCACCCACCCCCCCCCCCACCACCCCCACACACACACACACACTCACCCACAAACCCACACACACAACACACACAAAACCAAAAACCAACCCCCACCCCCCCCCCAAACCCAACAACCCCACACAACCCACACCCACACCAACCCCCACCCCACCCCCCCACCCCCCCCCCACCCCCCCCCACCCAACCCCCACCCCCACACCCCCCCACCCCACCCCCCACCACCCCCCCACACACACCCCCCCCCCCCACACCCAAACCAACCACAACCCCCCCCCCACCCCACACCACCCCACACCCCCCACACCACCACCCCACCACAACACCACCCCCCACACCACCCCCCCCCCCACCACCCACCCACACCCCCCCCCCAACCCACCACACCACCCCCACCCCCCCCCCCACAACCCCCCCACACCCAACCACCCCCCCCCCCCCACCACCCCAACCCCCACACCCCACACACCCCCCCCACACCCCACCCCCCCCACACCCCCCCACCCCCCCCCCCCACCCCCCCCCCCACCACCCCCCCCCCCACCCCCCCCCCCCCACTCATCTCACTCACCACACCACCCAACCCCCCCAACAACCACCACCACCCCCCCCCCAACCCACCAACCCCACCAATCCCACACACCAACCCCCCCCCCCACACCCACCCCCCACCACACAAAAACCCCCCACCCCACCCACACCAAAAAAACAACCACACACACCCCCCCCCCCCCCAACCCCACACACACACCCACCCACACCCCCCAACCCCAACCCCCCACCCCCACCCCCCCCCAAACCCCCCACCCCCCCACACCAACACACACAACACCACAACAACCCCCAACACCCCCCCCCACCCCCAACACCACCCACCACACACCCATCACTTCATCTCACACACCCCCACCCCCCCCCCCCCCCCCACCCCCAACCCCACAACACACCCCCCAACCCACACCAAACCCCCCCCAACCACACCACCCACCACCCCCAACCCCCCCACCCACCCAACCAAACAAACCCACAACACACCCAACACCCACACCCCCACCAACACCCCCCCACACCCACCCAACACCCCCCCCCCCCACACCACCACACCCCCCACCACCCCCCCCACCACAACACCCCCAAACCCCACCCAACCCACCCCCCCACACCACCCCCACCCCCCACCAACCCCCCCCCAAACCCAACCCCACCCACAACCCCCCAACCACCCAAAAACCACACACACACCCAACCCCCACACCACCACCCCCCCCCCACCCCCCACACTCACACACACACCCACCAAACCCCCCACCACCCCACCCCCCCCCCCCCCCCCCACACCCCACCCCCAACAAACAAAAACAACAAAACAAACCAAACCCCACCACCCCCACCCCCACAACAACCCCCCCCCCCCCACCACCCCCCCCCCACCCCCCCCCCCCCACCCCACTCACACACACACCCCCACCCCCCCCCCAACACCCCCCACCCCCCCACACCCCCCACACCAACCCCCCCCCCACCCCCCCCCCCCCCCCCCCCCCCCCCCCCACACACCCCCCCCCCCCCCCCCCAAACACCCCACCCCCACCCCCCCCCCCCCACCCCACACCACCCCCACCACCCAACCCCACACCCAACCCCCACCCCCACCCCCACCCCCCCACCCACCCACCCCCCACCACCCACCCACCCCCCCCACCCCCCCACCACCCCAAACCCCACCCACCCCCCACCCCACACCCCCACCCCCCACCCCCACCCACCCAACACCCACCAACCCCAACCCCCCCAAACCACCAAAACCAACCCCCACCCCCCCACACACTACACACACCCCCACCCACCCCACCCCCCCACCCCACCACAACCCCCCCCCCCACCCCCCACCCACCCCCCCCAACAAACCACACACCCCCCCACACAACCAAACCCACACACCCCCCCCCACCCCCCCCCCCCCCCAAACCCCCCACCCCCCCCCCACACACCCACCCCCCCCAAACCCCCACACACACTCACTCACCCCCACCCCACACAACCCCAACCACAAACCACCAACCCACAACAACACCCCCACAACAACCACCACCACCAACCACCCCCCAAAACCCCCCCCCCCCCAAAACCCCCCCCCCCCCCCACCCCCCCCCCCCCCACACAACAACCCAAACAACCCCAAACCCCCCCCCCCCAACCCCCCCCCCCCCCAAACACCCCAACCACCACCACCCCCACCCCCCCCCCCCCCACCCACTCACACACCCCCCCCCCCACCCACCCCCCCACCCCCCCCCCCAAACCACACCCCACAAACCCCCCACCCAACCCCCCCACCCCCCCCCAAACAAAACCACCCCCAACACACAACCCCAACCCACAACCCAAACACACCAACCCCACCAACACCACACACCAAACCCAAACCACCCACACCCCCCCCCCCACCCCCCAACCCCAAAACCCCCAACCCCCCCCCCCCCCACACCCCCCAAAACCAACCCCACCCCAAACCCCCCCCCCACAACACACAAACCCCCCAACCACCCCACCCCACCCCACCCCAAAACACCCCAAACCCAACCCCACCCCCACCCCACACACCCCACACCCCCCACCCACACCCCCCCAACCCCCCAACACCCCCCCCACCCCACCCACCCCCAACCAACACCCCCCCCCCCACCCCCCAACCCCACAAACCCACCAACCACAACACCACACCCCCCCACCCCCCCCCCCCCCCCCCACCCCCACACCCAAAACCCCCCACCCAACACCCCCCCCCCCCCCCACCCCCCCCAACCCCCCCCCCCCCACCCCCACACAACTCCCCCCAAAACCCAACACACAACCACCACCCCCCCACACCCACCACCCCACACCAAACCCCCCCACCCCCCCACCCCCCCCCCCCAAACACACCACCCAACAAAAAAATACCCCCCCAACCCCCCCAAACCCAAACACACACCAACCACCCCCCCAACCCCCCCCAACCCCCCCCCCCCCCAACCCAAACCCCCCCCCACCCACCACCCCCACCCCCAACACACCCAACACACCCCCCCCCCACCCCCAACCCCCCCCAAACACCCCCCACCAACCAAACCCACCAAAACAAACCAAAACACACCACCCCCCCCCCCACAACCACCCCCCCCCACACAACACCCACCCCCCCCACCCCCAACCCCCCACCCCCCCCCCACCCCCACCCCCCCCCCCACCCACCAACCCCCCCCCCCCACCCACCCAAACCCTCCCCCAACACACCCACCCCCACCCCACAAACCAACCCCCCCCCCACCAACCCACCCACACCCCCCCACCCAAAACCAACCCACAACCACACACCAACAACACCACCACAACAACACCACAAAAACCCCCAAAAACCAAAACCAACAAAAAACCCAAACCCACCAAACCCCCCCCAAAACCACACAAACCAACAAAACCAAACCCCCAAACCAAACACCCACCAACACAAACCCAACAACACACAACCAAACCAAACCCCCCACCAAACCCACACCCCCCCCCCCCACCCCCCCCCCCCACCCAACCCAACCCCACCCACACACACCACACACACACACACCCCCCACAACCACCCCCCCCCCCCCCCACAACCCCAAAAAAACCACAAAACAAAACCAAACAACCACAACCCACCCCCCCCCCCACCCCACCCACACCCCCCCCACCCACAACCCCCCCCCCCCACCCCCACCCACCACCCACCCACCAAACCCCCCCCCCCACCAACACCCACCCAACCCCACAACCCCCACACAAAACCCCCAACAAACCACACCCCAACCCAAACAACCACCACCACCCCCCAACCCACCCCCCAACACCACCCCACCCACACCACCCCCAACCCACCCACCACCAACCCCCCCCCCCCCCAAACCCCCACCCCCACCCCCAACCCCCCACCCCCCCCCCCCCCCCACACCCCCCAAACACAAACCCCACCCCCCCCCCCCCCAACCACCCCCCACCCAACCCCCCACAACCCACCCCCAACCCCCCAAACCCCCCAACCCCCCCACCCCCCCCACCCCACCCCCACACCCCCCAACCACACCCCACCCCCCACCCCCCACACCCCACAACCCAACCCCCCCCCACCCCACACCACCCCCAAACCCAACACCCCACCACCCCCCCACCACACCCCCAAACCCCCCCAACCCCCCCCCCCCCACAACACCACCACCCAACACACCCACACACCCCCAACCCACAAACCCCAACCACACCCCCCCCCCCACCCCCACACCCACCCCACACACACCCCCCCACCACCCCCCCCCCCCACCCCAACCCCCACACCACCCCCCCACAACACACCCCCACACCCCCCCCCCCCCAACCCCAAACCCACCCCCCCCCACCCCCCCCCCCCCCCCCCAAACCACACCCCCAACCCCACCCACCCCCCCCACCCCCCCCCCCCCCAAACCCCCCACCCCCCCCAACCCCCCCCCCCCACAACCCCCCCCCCCCCCCCCACCCCACAACCCCCCACACCAACCCCCACAACACACCACCCCAACACCCACCCAAACCACCCCCACCCACCCACCACAACCCCACACAACCCACCCCACCTCTCTCTCTCACTCACACACACCACTACCCCACCCACCCCAAAACCCCCCCCAAAACACCACCCCCCCCCCACCCCCCCCCACCCCCCCCAACCAAACAACCCACACCCCCCCCCCCACCCCCCCCAACCCACCCCCAACCCCAACCACACCCCCACCCCCCCCCCCCCCCAACACCACCCCCAACCCCCCCACCCCACCCAAACCCCCCACCCCACAACACCCACCCAACCCCCCCCCCCCACACCCCCCAAACCCACCAACACCCACCAACCACACCACACCAACAACCACACCACACCCCCCCACAACCACCCACCCAAACACACACACACAACACCACCCCCACCACAAACAACCCCCCCCAACCACCCCCCCCCAACCCCCCCCCCCCCCCCCACACAACCCCCCCACCCCACCCCCCCCCCACAACCCCCAAACCCCCCCCCCCCCCCCCACCCCCCAACCCACCCACACCACCACCCCAACCCACCCCACCCCCCCCCACCCCCCACCCCCCCCCACCACCACCCCCCCCCACCCACACCACACCCCCACCACCCAACCCCCCCCCCCCCCAAAAAAAACAACCCCCCCACACCCCCCCCCCCCACACCACCCCCCCCCAAACCCACACACCCCCACAACCCCCACCCACCCCCCCCACCACCCCCCACCCCCCCCCCCCCCCCACCCCCACACCACCACCCCACCCCCCCCCCACCCACCCCCCAAACCAACCCCCCCACCCAACACACCACCCCACAACAACCAAACACCAAACCACCCCCCACCCCCACCCACACCCCCCCCCCCCCCACACACCAACCCCCACACCCCCCCCCACCCCCCCCACACACACCCCCCCCCCCCACCCCCACCACCCCCCCAACCACCCCACCCACCCAAACCCCCCCCCCCCCCCCCCCCCCCACCCCAACCCCCCCAACACCACCACCCACACACTACACATCACTCTCACACACACTCACACCCCACAAACCACCCCCAACCCCACAACAACCCACCCCCCAACCCAACCCAAACCCACAACAAACCCCAAACCCCAACACCCCCCCCAACACCCACCCCCCCCCCCCCACCCCCCCCCCCCCCACACCCACACCACCCCCCCCCCCCACCCCACCCACCCCACCCCCACACACCCCCCCCCCACCACCCCCCCACACCCCCACAACCCCCCCACACCCCACCCCCCCCCACCAACCCCCCCCCCCCCCACCCACCACCCACCCCCACCCCCCCCCCCCCCACCACCCACCCACACCCCCCCCCCCCCCCCCCCACAACCCCACCAACCCACCCACACAACCCACCCAAAACCCACCACCCCCCCCCAACACCCCCACCACCACCCCCCCACACACCCACCACCCCCACAAACACACCACACCAAAACCCCCCCCCCCCACACCAAACCCCCCCACACCCACCCCCCCCCCCCAACACAACCACCACACACACCCACCCCCACCACCAACACCCACCACACAAACACCCAACCCCAACACCCACCCACCCCCCCCCCCCCACAACCCCAAACCACACACCACCCACCCCCCACCCCCCAAAACCCCCCCACCACACAAACCCCCCACACCCCCCCACAAAAACAACCACACCCCCCCCCAACACACACCACCAACCACCCCCCCCCCCCACCCCCCCACCCCACCCCCCCCCCACCCCCCCCCCCACCCCCCCCACCCCACACCACACCCCAACCCACCCAACCCCCCAACCCCCCCCCCCCCCCCCCCCCCACCCCCACCCCCCCACACCCCCCACCACACACAAAACCCCCCCCCCCCAAACCCACCACCCCCCCCCCCAAACCCCACCCCCACCCCCCCCCACACCACCCCACCCCCCCCCACACAAACCCCACCCCCCACAACCCCCCCACAACCCCAAACACACCCCAACCCCACCAACCCCCCCCCCCACCCCCCCACCCCACCAACCACCCCCCCCCCCCCACACCCCCCCCACCAACCCCCAAACCCACCAACCCCACCCCCCCCCCCCCCCCCCCACAACCCCCCACAACCAACCACCAACCCCCAACCACCCCCACACCCCCCCCCCACCCCCCCCCACACCCCCCCCCACCCCACCCCCCCACAACCCCCCCCACCCCCCCCCCCCCCACCCCCCCCCACCCCACCCCACAACCCACCCCCCCCCCCAAATCCACCCCAACCCCCCACCCCCCAACCCCCCCCCCCCACCCCACCCCCCCCAACCACACACCAACCCCCCATCAAACACTCACACTCCCCACCCCCCACCCCCCCCCCCACCCACCCCCCCACACCCACCACACCCCCACCCCCACCCCACCCCAACCCCAAAAAAAACAAACCAAAAAACAACCAAAACCACCACCCCAACCCCCCACACCCACCCCCCCCCACCAAAACCCCAACCAAACAAAACCCACACACAACCCCCACCCCACAAAACACAACACACACCCCACAAAACACCCCCCCACCCACCACCCACCCCCCCCCACACCACCCCCACCCCACCCCCCACCCCCCCCCCCACCCCACAAACACCACCCCCCCCCACCACACCCCCCCAAAACCCACCAACCCACAACAACCCCCACCCCCAAACCCCCCAACCCACCCCACCCCCCCAACCCCAAAACCCCCCCCACCCCAACCCCCACCAACCACCACCACCCCCACCCCCAAACCCCTCCACACCCACCCCCAACACCCCACAACACACCCCCAACACCCCCAAACCCCAACCCCCCCCACCCAACACCCCCCACCCACCCCCACCAACCACCCCCCCCCCACCCCCCCACACCCCACACCCCACCCCCACACCACCCCCCACCCCACCCACCCCACACACCACACCCCCACCCCCCCCCACCCCCCCCCAAACACCCCACCCCCACCCACCCCCACCACACACCCCCCAACCCCCCCCCACCCCACCCACCCCCCCCACCCCCCACCCCCCCACCCCAACCCCCAACCCAAACCCCCCACCCCCCCCCCCCCCCCAACCCCCCACCAACCCCCCACCACCCCCCCCCCCACCCCCCCCCCCCCCCCCACCCCACCACAACCCCACCCCCAACCACCCCCCCCCCCCCCCCCCCCCCAAACCCCCCCCCCCCCACCCCCCAACCACCACCCCCCCCACCCCCACCACAACACCCACACCCCCCACCCACCCCCCCAACCCCCCCCCCCCCCCCACCCCCCCCACACCACCCACCAACCCCCAACCACCCCCCACCAAACCCCCCCCCCCCCCCCCCCACACCCACCCCACCCCCACCCACCCAACAAACCACCACCACCCCCCCCCCCCCCCAACCCACCCCCCCCCCCACCCCAAACCCCACCAACCCCCCACCCCCCCAAACCAAACCACCAACCACACCAACAACCCCCCAACCCCCCACCCCACACCCAACCCCCCCCCACCCACCACCCCCCCCCCCCCCACACCCACAACCCACCCAACCAAAACACCCCCCCACAAACACACCCAAACCCACAACCCACCCACCACCCACCCCCCACCCAACAACCAACCCACCCACCACAACCAACCCCCCCCCACCCCCACCCACAACCCACCCCACACTCCACAACCCCCACACTCTCCCACACCCACACACCCCCCACACCACCCCCCCAACTCCCCCACACACTCCACAACCACAACCCCCCCCCAACACAACCCCCCCACCCCCCACCAACCCACACCACACACTCCCCCACTCAATCACTCACACCCCACAACCCCCCACCCACCCCCAACAAACAAACAAACACCCCACCCACCACCCACAAACCAAACCCCAACCACCCCCAACCACCCCCCCCCCCCCCCCCCCCCCCCAAACAAACCCCCACACCACCCCCCACCACCCCAACCCCCACCAAAAAAAACCCAAACCCCCAACCAAAAACAAAAAACCCAACCCACAAAAACCCAAAACACCACCCCCCCCCCCACCACAACCCCCCCAACCACCCCCCCACACCCCCCACACCCCCACACCACCCCCCCCCAACACCCCCACCCACCCCCCCCCCCCCCCCCCCCCCCAAAACCCCCCCCCCACCCCCCCCACCACAACCCACACCCCAACCCCCCCAAACCCCCCCCCCCCCACCCAAAACAACAACACCACCCCAACACCAAACCCACCAACACACACATAACACAAAACACACCCCAAACCACCCCCCCCCACCACAACACACAAAAACCCAACAAACCCCCTCCCCCCCAAACCCCCCACAAAACAACAACAACAACACCCCCCCAACACACACCACCCCCCACCCACCACACCACAACACACAAAAAACCCACAACCCCCAAACCACCCCCCACCCACACCCCAACCCAACACCCCCCACCCCAACACCACCCCCACCCACACACCAATCATATCCACACAAAACACCACCCACACAACCAATACACACCCCCCCCCCCACCCCACAACCCACCACACCCCACCCACCCCACTCCACAAAAACCCCCCCACCCCACACAAACCACCCCCACCCCACCACCCACCCACCCACACACCCCCCAACCACACCCCCTTAAAAAAATCTAAAAAACCACATCCTAACACATCTTATACAACAACCCCTCCAACACCCTCTCCTTTCTCCTCCTCACCCAAATCCCCAATCCCTCAATCCATATATCAACTCACTCATCTCCCCCTCTCACTCACACCCCTCTCTATACTTAACTTCTACATCCATCCATATTTTCCATTTCCATTCCTTAACACTTCACCCCACTCCCACATTCCCACACTCCTTCCTCCTCCCAACTTCACAAACCCCCCCCCCCAACCCATTCCCCAACCCCACTCACAATACCCCTTTTTCCCCCATCCTTCAACAAAACACCTACATATATATTATCCCCCCCCCATTTAAAGATATATAGATATAGTCACCCCCTCCTCCCCCCCCCCCCCCTCCTTTTCCCTCTAAAAATCCTACCAAATACCCCAATCCCATAACAAAAATTTCCCTTTCCCCTATCTCTTTCACAAACTTATACCCATCTCTCATTTAACACCTCCATCCACCTCCTACACCTATAATCCTCTCTCTACATCTTTCCTTTTCCACACATTCTCTTAACAAAACATCAAACCCCCACAAAAACTTTTAACAAATCATATCTTACAAACCTACATACCCTCTACCATCAACCTCCCATTAACACACAATATTAATAACTTAAAAAACATATAATATATTATAAACTAAACTTAACCACCTAAACAACACATTTCCTTCCTCATCCACCCCCACCTAAACCTCTAATTAATTAGAGATGATCGATATATAGAGCTATAGATAGACTACTCGACTCGAGATCTAGCGAGCACAGCACTAGCCCCCTAACCTTCAGCTAACCTAAAATAGAGATAGAGTCACAATTATTATCCTACCTTCTCCATTCTCATACCTATATAAAAATCACCCATTTCCTACAAACCCATAACTATGAGGTGTGATACCTCCCAATATTTATAATACATTAACCCCTTTCAGTAACCCAATTAATACAATTTACCCCCCATATAAATACTTCATCTATTCTTACACCCACTCTCTTCAATATACAACTCCTATCCAAATATTCTCTTCTTTTTATAAATAATTTATCAACCATTCCTTATATTAACATATATATTTTCCACCATCATCTCATATTTTTTATCTAATTATTTATCAATCCACTTACCCTCTATAATCAAATCTACATACTCATATTACTAATACATTTCCTACCAACATTCCAACCCCTCCCCCAAAAACAAATCCAAATACAAAAAAATAATCACCAAATAACATAAAAATAAATAAATCTAAAATAAATAAACAAAAAACCAAAAATTACAAACAATATAAAAAACAAAACATCTATAAAAATAAAAATTTAATTACAAAAATAAATTAAAAATACCTCTTTCCAATTATTTACAAAATTAAATTAAAAATATACCCAAATATATATAAATAATATACATTAAATCCCAACATATAATAAAACCATAATAATATCTTCTTCTACACATTCCATTTTACACTTATTATTTCTCCTCTCCAATCAATTTTTATAGAGAGAGAGAGAGAGATAACTAAACATTAATAATCATTAATACATTTAATTTTATTCATAAAACAATTTTTAAAAGTTAAACATATTCACAAAACACTTAAAATTTTAACTCATTCAATAATTTTAATTACAAAAAACCAACTTCAAACTCCATTTACAATACAAAATAAAAATAATACCATTACTAAAATTAAACCTTTATAAATATAAACATTCATATATTTCTTTTTAAACTATTTAAATCCACCCACGTCGCTCTCTACTCGCTACACTACATAAATAAAATCAATTATCTAAACAAAACAAAATAATCCTCTGCTCAGCTCGATCGCGCCTCCTATCACTATTCTTAAACATTCAACCCTAATCCATCACTACCTACGCGACACTCTCACATCTCTCGCTCAAAAACACTCATAATTATAACTCCATTACATTTAATAAAAAACATCCCAAAAACATAACCCTTTTCACCACTCTAAACTATCAATATATAATATCAAATACCCCCTACACCAACATAAACACTATCAACCCCTACATTTTTTATTATAAATTTCCAAATTATCTAAATCTACCTCACACCACACAACACTTACTTAACTTCCCCCAATTTCAACATAAAACCATAACCACACAACAGATTTTACAATATACATCAACACACAAATCATATATAAAAAACAAAAATAAAATCAAATACAAACACATAAATAAACAACAAACACTACCAACAAAAAATCACTCATAAAAAAAAAACAAACAAAAAAAAAAAAAAACATAAAAAAAAAACAATTTAAATACCCCCCCACGGCAGAGATGCACCTTCCGACAAGGTGCATGTCATGTCGGATATGCCGGGTGGGTGTCCTCAGTCGATCGTCTCGCCTGTTTGGGTGTTAGTGCGTGATTTGTGGTGACATGCTACAACATTCTAGCTTTAATGTGACTCAGCAATTCGCAAGCGCCTAACTGGGGCCAGGCTCGTGGCGGTTGGGTCTCGGGCCTCTGGCTTGGCTTGTCGAGGCCGGGTTTTCTCTACGGCGAGTCCTGGCCCTGCAGGCTAGTTCTAACCGGGATCAGGGGTTTCAGGGAGTGAGCTACGGCCGTGAACTCTAAGGTTTGGGCCGGTGCGCCTGACTCCTGGGTCTCTTGGTCTGGAAGACTCAAAGTTCCAAGCCAAGAGATTAGCAGGAGTTTCTATTTTAGGGGACTAGGATACAAAAATATGAAACTTCAAAAATCAAAAAGGGTGGCTGTCTTGGCAGTGGGTAGGAGCGTCGTTAAGGCACTCGATGGCGAGGGGTTCCCATCTTGCTCGTTCTAAAAGGGGAGTATAAGGGTTACAAGAATATATGACGTAGCAAGTGGGGCTTTAATTACGAGGGGAACTTCCTTTATATAAACGGGGATGACAGGTATGATTGTCTAGGACAGGGGTTCCCAAAGTTTTTAGCCCGCAACCCCCATCATAAATGCCCTGCTAACCCGCGACCCCCCGGGGGGTCGGGACCCCCACTTTGGGAACCACTGGTCTAGGAGACTGATTAGGTATCGAGGTAGATATGTTTGGATCTGAGCTGGTGACTCTTAGTGGGGTTTTAGGCCCTTGGTTCACCTTCTGTGATAGAAAGAGTGACCGTCTCGAGTGGGTGGCTTTGGAGGTCCTCGTACTCTGACGCTCGACGGCGCTGTCGCCCCGGTTTGGTCGTTTACGGATCTGTCTCGTCATTGCCTCCGTGCACCTGTTAAAGTTATTGCGGAGTCGTCTAACCCGTCTATTTAGGACGAAGGCCGTGGCTACGGCCAGAATGTCCTCAACTAACAATAGCGGCACGAGGTATGGCGGGATACGGCCCATGGCTAGGTTTTCGATCGAGGAACTGAGGTGACGTAGCATGTCCTCCATCAGTTGGGTGGTCAGCTGAGTATGGCCGTAGTCTAGTTGGAGAACGTCTAAGAGTTGATTGACCGCAGCGGAGGTGCGTTTAATCGCAACCTCGTACGTGTTAAGTACTAGCATGGTTCCTTTCGGGGACTTTCCCAAGGTCACCACGTCGTTCTGTTGTTGGTCAAGTCTGGTTTTGACATCCTCGAGTTCAGAGGCCATTTCTTGTTGGTGGCGTCTGAGGGAGGATAGGCTAATGGCGTTTAGGCCAAAGAGGGTGCCCAGGGCGGGCGCCGCGCCGAGGAGAGCCCCAATAAATCGTTTGGGTCTGAGGCGAGGGTCACTGAGCTCTGTCCTAGTGAGTCTGTCTAGTTGCGTCAGCATGTGTTGTATGTCTGCCTCAGCGTGCTCCACGACCGTCTGGGTCCAGCGTGCACCTGCCCAATCTTTGAGTGTGACCAGGTCACTCACTGTTCCGCTGGACCACTGTTCCAGCGGCGTCTTGAGACGCAGCGTGGGCACGGCGTAGCTTGAGACGCAGCGTCGGTTTGCGACGCAGCGTCGGTTTGCGACGCAGCGTGGGGCGCGGCGTAGCTTGAGGCGCAGCGTCGGTTTGGGACGCAGCGTGGGGCGCGGCGTGGCTTGAGACGCAGCGTGGGGCGCGGCGTAGCTTGAGACGCAGCGTGGGGCGCGGCGTAGCTTGAGACGCAGCGCGGGGCGCGGCGTAGCTTGAGACGCAGCGCGGGGCGCGGCGTAGCTTGAGACGCAGCGTGGGGCGCGGCGTAGCTTGAGGCGCAGCGTCGGTTTGAGACGCAGCGTGGGGCGCGGCGTAGCTTGAGACGCAGCGTGGGGCGCGGCGTAGCTTGAGACGCAGCGCGGGGCGCGGCGTAGCTTGAGACGCAGCGCGGGGCGCGGCGTAGCTTGAGACGCAGCGCGGGGCGCGGCGTACCTTGAGACGCAGCGTGGGGCGCGGCGTAGCTTGAGACGCAGCGCGGGGCGCGGCGTAGCTTGAGACGCAGCGTGGGGCGCGGCGTAGCTTGAGGCGCAGCGTCGGTTTGAGACGCAGCGTGGGGCGCGGCGTAGCTTGAGACGCAGCGCGGGGCGCGGCGTGGCTTGAGACGCAGCGTGGGGCGCGGCGTAGCTTGAGACGCAGCGTGGGGCGCGGCGTAGCTTGAGACGCAGCGCGGGGCGCGGCGTAGCTTGAGACGCAGCGCGGGGCGCGGCGTAGCTTGAGACGCAGCGTGGGGCGCGGCGTAGCTTGAGGCGCAGCGTCGGTTTGAGACGCAGCGTGGGGCGCGGCGTAGCTTGAGACGCAGCGTGGGGCGCGGCGTAGCTTGAGACGCAGCGCGGGGCGCGGCGTAGCTTGAGACGCAGCGCGGGGCGCGGCGTAGCTTGAGACGCAGCGCGGGGCGCGGCGTACCTTGAGACGCAGCGTGGGGCGCGGCGTAGCTTGAGACGCAGCGCGGGGCGCGGCGTAGCTTGAGACGCAGCGTGGGGCGCGGCGTAGCTTGAGGCGCAGCGTGGGGCGCGGCGTAGCTTGAGACGCAGCGTGGGGCGCGGCGTAGCTTGAGACGCAGCGCGGGGCGCGGCGTAGCTTGAGACGCAGCGCGGGGCGCGGCGTAGCTTGAGACGCAGCGCGGGGCGCGGCGTACCTTGAGACGCAGCGCGGGGCGCGGCGTAGCTTGAGACGCAGCGCGGGGCGCGGCGTAGCTTGAGACGCAGCGTGGGGCGCGGCGTAGCTTGAGGCGCAGCGTCGGTTTGAGACGCAGCGTGGGGCGCGGCGTAGCTTGAGACGCAGCGTGGGGCGCGGCGTAGCTTGAGACGCAGCGCGGGGCGCGGCGTAGCTTGAGACGCAGCGCGGGGCGCGGCGTAGCTTGAGACGCAGCGTGGGGCGCGGCGTAGCTTGAGACGCAGCGCGGGGCGCGGCGTAGCTTGAGACGCAGCGCGGGGCGCGGCGTAGCTTGAGACGCAGCGCGGGGCGCGGCGTAGCTTGAGACGCAGCGTGGGGCGCGGCGTAGCTTGAGGCGCAGCGTCGGTTTGAGACGCAGCGTGGGGCGCGGCGTAGCTTGAGACGCAGCGTGGGGCGCGGCGTAGCTTGAGACGCAGCGTGGGGCGGGAATACAGTATTAGACTTGACCAACGCAGCAATGTAGCCTAACAATTATGTTTAAGAGGAGAAGCAGAAACAGAGTGTTAGCTTTTGTTATGTATAGCAGTAATGTGTTCTAATAGCAACATGCGCTAGAAGTAGCAGAGTTACAGTATGAAACTTGGCCAACGCAGTAATGTAGCCTAACAATTATGTTTAAGAGGAGAAGCAGAAACAGAGTGTTAGCTGTACCAACGTATAGCAGTAATGTGGTCTAACAAAAAAAAAATGACATGCAGCAGAAATCCGTGAAGCAGAAACACGGCATAGGATTAGTTACTACAATAATGCGTATTATCAGTGGCAAGGAGGGGGGGGGGGGGGTGTGTGGGAGTGCAGTATTTGTTAAATCACCACACAGATGTGTTACCGTAAACTAGCAGTAGTGAGTGAGCAGGAATAAAGCATAGAATGCGTTTCACCAGCGACATGCAGCAGAAGGAGCAGAGTTTACAGCATTAAACTTGGCTAACGCAGTAATGTAGTCTAACAATGACGTTAAAGAGGAGAAACAGAAACAGAGTGTTAGCTTTACGGCAGTAATGTGGTTATTGAGTTGGAGTAACAAAACAGCACGGAAGTATAGCAAAGCTGTTTTACGTTAGAGCCACCGCCACAGATCATTAAAGGACAACTCACCCTCAAATCCACTTTTTTTTGCTAATAAACGATTTAAATGAGTGTCCAATAGTGTTGTCTACATATCCTGGTCATAGTTTTTTCACTTTGGTGCAAATTAGTTGAAAGTTAAACTTTCTGCCTAAAACCGTCTGTGAGGCGCCATCTGCTGGCGACCTGTATTACTACATTTGAATTTTGAATCTGGCGCCAACACTGGCACAGAAGTTGGACCTGACGTCTGCAAGTTGGACCTGACGTCAGCAGCCCCCCGCCCAGAGCAATGTAAACGGCCCAGTCTCGTTCACGCCCCCTTCAGTCCTCCAGGCTACGCCCATTTAGAGGAAGATTTGAACAGGAAATGTGAGTGACGTAAGCTCCGAGGAGCGGGGGTGAGAACCACTTTAAAGACGTGGTGCAGAATAAAGTGTCAAGACAGCAGCAATGTAGTCCCGGAAGTAGTGCACCGGGACCGGAAAGTAGTCCTGTGTTAGACAATAAAAGAGGTGCGGCTCGTTTAGCAGTATGCCGAGACGGCTAGCACCCTTTGATCGTCAAACACAGAATCAGAGTGAGATAGGATAGTACGAAAGTATAGTAAGTAGTGTTATTGTTAGACAACAGGTAGGCAATGCAGCAGCAGAGTGGTTTTAGCAGTGGGGACGCGGCGTAGGCTTTTAGCGCACCAGGGCCGGAAGTTAGCCGTATGCTAAAAACAAAGGAGCGTAGCTAGCCGTTAGCTTGCCGACAACAGGAGGTTTCAGCAGTAGTTTAGGCAATAAACAATGGGTTTTACAACGAAAGTCTCGAGCGAGTTATACGGTTCGCACAAGCACGTATCGCAGTGGTGGAATGGGGTTTGTCTGTATTGTGCAGTAGAGTCTTGGGCTGTATCCGAATGTCCACACTATACCCTATATAGTGCACTATATAGTGGTCACGCCATTTTGTAGGGGTGTCCGAATGTCCAGAGAGAAAAAGTAGTGCACTGGAATTTTCCCACAATGCATCTCGAAAATGTAGTGAGCAGCGATGGTCACTATACGGAAGTAAAATGGCGGAGGCACGGGGAGACGGGTTGGAAGAGAAGCGGGACATGAGCTCCAAATGTGAGTTTTTAATCATCATAAATATGTAAATGTGTAAACCGTGATATATTGTTGACGATAAGCTGCCAAAATACACATTTGAATACCATTGCCTTTTACTGCGAAACAACGTACCAATGTTATGCCGCGAAAGTGTTAGCATTTTCGCATATCATAACATTAACATCTAAAGCGAACGCTACAGAAACGGGTCACTGGTGGTCAGTCATTAATGTTATTAAAGCACTTGTGTTATATGTATAGCATTTATTGTGTGTTTAATGTTTTTTAAAGGGACAGACACTGATGTGGAGAGACTCATCTGACTGCAGGTGAAAAATTTGCTTCGGCGGCTGGATGGGAGTATGACCTCATCTCATCTCATCTCATCTCATTTACATCCCTTTATTTTTCCATTTCTGGGTCAGGGGGGTGGCAATCAGAACTGCCACCCAATTCACATAGCACCAGTCCCTTGCTGATCTTCCTGCAGGTGGTGGGTCCACGGGAAGATGGCTGCTCCTTCGACACAGATGCGGCCTTGGTCTTTCAGCGGGGACTTCAGGCACATTGGGGTTAAGTGTCTTGCCCAGGGACACAACGGCAGCGGACATCAGTGGGAGCAGTTGACATGGGTCGTGGTGGGATCGAACCCACGACCATTAGGTCCAAAGACCAGTGCTCTACCAACTGAGCTACTGTCGCCCCTATGACCGGGAGTATGACCATTATGAATAAATACTTATTCAAAAAACGTCTACTCATATTCAAATGTTTTTATGTATCGTTACTTTAGGGCAGTGATAAAGGAAAATGATCACCCCTGCCAGAGCGGCCAAGAAGTGGGAGAACCTGAAAAAGACCTACAAGGTTTGTTTCTTTGAAGCTAATTTGTGAAGCATTTATTATACAAAATTCACTGTTTTAAGGAGCTCAGACAGCCACGGACAGGGACAGGGACAGAAGGAGGGGAGCCCATCGCCATATCTTGGAAGTGGTACTCCCTCATGGATGAGGCAATAGGCAGCAGGCCATCCGTGCAGCCTCCCTGCCTGATTGCCTCATCCATGGGGGAGGAAAGAGGAAGAGGAAAGCAGTGTGGCAGCCAAGAGGCCGAGGAGGGAGAGTTGAATTAGTTTTTCGGAGAAGGTGGAGAAGAATGAAGAGGAAAGGGAGAAGCGAGAAGAGGAGAGGGGAAGAAGAGAGGAAGAGAGAAAGGAGAGACTGTTGAGTTTGTTGGAGAGAAGTTGTAAATAGTAGATAAAAATGTATTTTGATAAGTGTAGTGTGAACTATATGCATATGGACATACAATGATGAACACTATTTACACACAAAAAATTTAATCAACTAGACATTTGTAAAGAACTATACATACATTCAACAATTTATTTTTAGATATTTACATATTCAATTGTTTTTGTTTTTATTTAAATAGGCCAAAACACAGATTATTCAAACATTTAATTAATAGTCGTGGTCCCGAAGAGCTGGTTCCCTTGGGGCGGAAAGTGCTGCTGCCATCCGTCCACGCAGCTCCTGTCCACACTGCTGATCAGGCTGGTGCTGCTGATGCTGGTCCTGCTCATCATCAGGCCCTGGCTCCTCTTCCACTGGCTCCCAGAGATCACCATCGCTGATGCAGATGTTGTGCAGGATGGCGCAACAGGCAGTCACCTGGACTGCAAAGGTGGGTTGGACTTCCAGTGCCTTAAAAAAAATTGATCGCCATCTTGCCTTCATCATGCCAAACGCTCTCTCTATTACAGATCGTGCCCGTGCATGGTGCCGGTTGAAGCGGGCTTCCACTGGGCTCCGAACAGGCTCTCTGTATGGAGTGAGGAGTGTGATGGGCTGACGGAGGCAAGGGTAGCCACCATCACCAAGGAGGATGTGTCCATTTGGGGGATAGAGCCGGTGGACGTAGAGGGGGCTGTTTTTAAGCACTCGAGAATCGTGCACAGATCCGGGGTAGCCAACAAACAAATCAATAAATAAGCCACGGTGATTACACACAGCCTGCATTTGAATGGAATAAAACAATTTCCTGTTAAAATAACACTGTGCATTCTCTTGAAGGGGCTTTATTCTAATGTGGCAGCCATCGATGCTCCCCACAACATTATTGAGAGCAGCTGATCCAGCCAGCAACTGAAACCCAGCTGCAACTTGGGGAAGTTCCTCCAGGGAAGGGAAATGAATTATTTGGCCACGCATTTGAAGGATCTGGTTGGCCACCCTGTGGATCACATCGTGGACTGTGGACTGGGGCATGTCAAATGCCCTGGCGACAACACGGTATGCGGTGCCACTGGCCAACCAAAAGAGGAAGACCAAAACCTCCATGTCCTGGCTCCAGCCCTGGTGATGAGCACTCCTCAGGTGGCTAACCAGACGGGTGATGGTGGTTCGAGTGAGGCGAAAATCGGGGCGAAGGTCAGACTGGCCATTTAAGTACATGCTGACTAGGGGTACATGGTGGTTCAGTCGGCAGTACACCGGTGGTTCACCCTAAAACAAAACAAAAATTCTCTTAAACTTAATATGATACTTCTAGATTCATTTTTTAATTCTGTATCTGCACTTTTAGTTATGAGTGCAGACACAGGAATAAGTACTCATTTTTCATTTTGAGATTTAAAAATGTAAATAAAAATGAAGAGTATATAGCTGAAGTCATGTTCTTTTGTGCCCTGGCATTGATTTTGCCAAATGTATTGTGTGTTGCAGGGAGCTGGAGCTGCCCTGAGACAACTGAAGTAGAAACCCTCACTACATCACTCGCACCTAATAACACACAAAAAAATTACAGAAGCCCTGTGCCCCATGGCCAAGCAAATTCTATTATTGTTTAATGATTAAGTACTCATTTTTCATTTAGAAAAAATGAGTACTTAATCCATTTCCCTTGCTATGGTTTTGTGTTCTTTCAACCAATAAAATATTTTAATGTTCTTGCATTTTAAGTGAGTGTGTCTATACAATGTGTTTTCTTGTTGAAATATGTCTAAATGTATATGACTAATGTGTTTCTCATTGACTGAGAATAGTATTTTGAATTAGTAAGTACACCAAAAGTACTATAATTTACCCAGTAGATGGTGCTAATGCTATATAGACAAAGGACGAATACAATACTTACACGACGCCCTGCTAATGAAAGAAGAGCCATTCTCCTCCTCGCCCTCATCGCCTGTCTTCGCCTTCTCTCTGTTCGGCGGTGTTTAATTCGCATTATG